TAGATAGATAGATAGATAGATAGATAGATAGATAGATAGATAGATAGATAGATAGATAGATAGATAGATAATACATAGATCAGTGTTTCTCAACCTTGGCAACTTGAAGATGTCTGGACTTCAACTCCCAGAATTCCCCAGCCAGCATTGGCTGGGGAATTCTGGGAGTTGAAGTCCAGACATCTTCAAGTTGCCAAGGTTGAGAAACACTGCTCCAGGGTATACAGTTGAGACCTAAGATTTATGATCTTCATAAATCCAATGTGTTTTGTTGTAGTAAGTGCATATTGAGTTGTGTGGTAGAGATTCAACTACTGTTTGGGGATGCAATCCTTACTAGTAAACTCCATATTTGAAATGGTTCCAATGTGCTACTTGTCAAGAGTTCTGTTAGAAACCACTCTATTCTTAGGTTGATGATTTGCAGTCATATCTTTAAGGAATACAAATGTTTGATTCTCTACCAAACCTTGTTTAATGAAGTTGGTGGTTTGTTTTTTTTAAAATCATTTCAGAGTACCTGAACACAGTGCTGGTACAGCTTAGAAGAAACATTTTCTTTGGAGAAAATTCATCAAGGATCTGAAGCAAAATGGTAAGAATTTGCCATTCATAAATGAAATTAAGTGAAATGCTATGCGTTTTTGTTTTACTTATTTTATATTTTCAATTTCAGCGGCCAATGCGCATTTTTGTAAATGATGACCGCCATGTCATGGCAAAGCATTCTGCAGTTTATCCAACTCAAGAAGAACTGACAGCAGTTCAAAACATGGTCTCTCACACTGAACGTGCTCTCAAAGCTGTTTCTGACTGGATTAATGAGCAGGAGAAAGGTAATAATGAGCAGCCAGAACCTGACACCATGGAGACTGTAGCTGAAGAAGAGAACAAAGAAGGAAGGTATGTAACTATTCATAACTTACTCTTAATTTAACAACTTCTGAAAAGAATTTTCTCCTGCTTGAGATGCCAATGACCAGTTTACATTAATTGTTTAAAATAATTTTGAACTTTACAATTAAAAAGATAAATACTAATAAAATTAAGAGTCTAAAAAGAGAAGAAAGGGAAAAAGAAAAATATAAAGGAAAGAAATATTAAAAAGTTGACTCCATATAAACAATTTTAATGGCTGATCAACTTCATTTAAAACACAATAGATTATTTCTTTCCATATTTCATCTCACGTCTAGAAATAAGTCTTTGAAGCCTTATCATTCAGTCTTAGTTTAGCAATCTTTAATCACCTCAAATAATGTTTTAGAACTTGATTTCTTTTTTTTCCTTTGTCCTTTCTCGTAAAATTCTTGCAAGCCTTAAGAGATCTCTTACAAAGGTCATCTTTTGCTTTCTTAAGACATCAGCTAGTTTCATAGGGATATACAGTGCGTCTCCTTTCACATTCCCACAGCCCGTCATTTTTAGATCCACTTTTAAATCACTCTTATTTGGTAAATTTTGTTCCTTTTCCATATATATATATAATGGCATACTCTTAAAATTAAAATCCCTTGTTCATAAATATCCTTCAATACATCCAATGTTATTTTGTTCCATTTTGTGTTTGGAAATCAAATCTGAGTGCTCATCTCCTTTAATATATTCAGTATCATTGCCTGCCTAAATTCAGGACCTTACTTTTCTCATCGCTTAAACTGCATCTTTCTGAATAGGGCTCAATGCTCAAATCTGTCAAGATACTTCTGAATCTTGAGTTTATTTTTCAAAGTGTTAGCAATTCCCCTCAGCTTGGTGTCATCTGCAAATTAGATGAGTTCCCTTTCTACCACCTCATCTGGTTCACTAACCCCTGGGCTGCAGATTGGTACCAATCCATGGCCTGTTAGGAACCGGGCCACAGAAGAGGCAGGCGAGTGAAGCTTCATCTGCACATGTGCGGGATCTAGGTTGCATGCAAAACCATCCCCTGAACCATGGGAAAAATGTCTTCCATGAAACCCGTACCTTATGCCAGAAAGGTTGGGGACCGCTGGTCTAGATGATTTATGAAGCTGTTGAAGATTACTATAGGCCTAAGGAAAAATCTTGAGGTATGCTTCCCTCCATGTAGATGTAGTTTCATTCAGAACTAGGGTTAGGGTTAAGTGTGGTTGGTCAGCCAATTCTAAATCCATCTGGTGGTGATCTATCCCAATTTTTTCTAACTTAGTAAAAAGTAGATTGTAATCTATTTTGTCAAATGTCTTACCAATTCAATTCAATTCATTACAGTCATAGACCAGAACAAATAAAAACACTCAATAAATATATAATTAAAAATTCTAGTATAAAATAATAAATAACAGCTAAAATCTATGATAAAATCCAGTCCGTCAGTTATACATGATCTAACTATGTAGAGTCGGGAACGACTAGCACGTATGTGCGAGGGGAACTTTTAACTTTATACTAAAAGTAGGATCCATAAACTGGCCCATAGTCAGTTTAATACTAATGTCTTACTGAAGTCCAAGTATATTTACATCCACACGTTTTGCAGGTTCACTAATTTAATCATTTTACCAGAATATAAGATTTCTTAGGCATTTGGTTTTTTTTTTTTTAAAAAAAAAA